AGGCTCATCAGCAACTTTCAGCGTGTCAGCGCACAGAACGGCTGCCACAGCAGCAGATGGCAGAGAGCGTCCTGGCTCTAGGTCTATATGAACGATAGAAACAGTGTTAGGGTCAGAGAAAGGTCAAGCTTCGTGACCCCGGAGGGAAAAAAGTAGCATCAAGATGCTATCTCTATCAGTATGGCTCCACAATAACAGATATGGAAATATTCTCTTTGGATTGACATGTGTGGAGACGCTCGACGTTCTTACAGCCCCGTCCACTAGTTCCTGCTCAGTCAGCTCGGCTTGATTTGACTTGGTTTTTGGGTTTTCTGTTACATGTTTAGAAAAAGGAAAAGTACGAGTTGTCATCGAGCAGAAACGGGAGCTGGAAGCATGTAAATATAATAATAACCACTGCAGCCAAACAGAGAGCCTGACGAGCCCAGCTGTAAGTAAGCTGTTAAGACTCGACTGTACGCCGTGTTCCTGTTTTCCTCCGAAACAATAAGCAGCCTTTCAACGCCTCTCTCTGTCTCTGCTAGCAAAGTTGACCCAGACAACAAAGTAAAGCTAGTTTTCAGCTACGAGCCGACACAAAGTCAGAGGTCCCTTTACTACGGTTCGGAGCCGCGGACCTGTTTTATATACGCGCCGAATAGTTTTCTACACAAGATCACTGCAAAAAGTGCAGCTTTACCTAATGTCCACCTACTGTTACTCATTATATTAAGGTTTAAACATCTAGCTGGTGTTGGTGTGGAGAGTAACCTTCAGTAATAGTAATAAATCACACAGCAGTAGGACATTCATGTGGTTGTAAAAAGCATGGTAATATATTAAGTAATCCAAAGTACTCAGAATAGTTACTCTCATTGAGTAATGTAAGGTCAGCTAGTGCACATTTCGAAGATAGAAATGACTGAAGCTTTCAGGTAAATTAAGACCAATTAAGCCAAGTGGCTTAATAGTGGATTGCATTCATAAAGCGCTTTACAATTCACACACTGTGGGCAGCTACAGTCGTAGCCACAGCTGCCCTGGGCTACTGACACCCAGAGGCTGCCATATCGTGCCATCGGCCCCTCTGGCCAACACCAGTAGGCGGTAGGTAAAGTGTCTTGCCCAAGGACACAACGACCAGGACGGAGAGCCCGGGGATCGAACCGGCGACCTTACAGATGCGCTTCCCAACCCCCTGAGCCACGGCTTAAACCTGGTTTCTTTTTTAAAGGCTACCAGGAGCAATCGCTGTGGTAATAAAAAAGACTTTGATTCCTACAATACTCAACCGTGACCTGTTACTTCATTTCCAGTTGTGAATTTTATTTATTTTCTCATTTGATGTTTCTGAAAATCTTTTTCTCTAAAAGTTTAAAGCTTTTCAGTGCATACCACACACACACACACACACACACACACACACACACACACACACACACACACACACACACACACACACACACACACACAC